CATGATAGAGTGATATAACTTTAAAGAAGCTCTAGTGCTTGAATCATCTGGGTTTTTTTTGTTATTGTTCAAATTATTTTTTTTACAGATGTCAGGTATTTTAAAGTAGCTAAGTCTCTAACGCAATATCATCCAAAGTCTTTGACATTGAAAACACAAATTATTTGTCAATTTAAATCAACATAGATGTTGTGATCTTATCGGAAAAAGATGGGCTTCTGATATCCAATAATTAAGACAAAATAAACATTTTACCATTGGTACACGAATCATGTATCATAATGTGTTTCAGCGCCATTTATAACAAGGGACTCAAATAATGAAACTAGACATATTCCACAAGTCATGTCAAACGGTGAAGCCATATTCTTATCTGGAGAGTATGCAAAATAAATACTACCGGTCTAGACTGGAATAACCAGACGCTAGAGATTGCCATTTTATTGAGACTGCTGGCGTATTTCGCGGAACATAACTGATTAGAAATTATTAAAAAAACAGAAACAATTGAATGTAAATCAGTTTATATACATTCATATTGCATTATTATAGGCATTATTGCGACCCAAATATTAGCGATTTAGCTCCTTTAACTATTAAATTACAAGTCATACACATGTTACCTTACACTTATAGCCCGTTCAGACGTTTAAGTTGAACTGGTTTAAAAACCCTGGGGATCGTTGTACTAGTTTCACTTTGTCGTCTGAACGCAAATGTAGGGCAAATAAACCAGTTTAAAAAACCCAGCTCGCGACCTGTCTTTGAAAAGGTTTTTTATTTCAAACGGGTTCATCTGGGCCGTTTGAACGGGTTGGCTTAAAAACCATGGCTCCAGTCCCCTTTGAGTACGCGCAGTATGTTACATTCCTGGGAAAATGTCGAGGTCAGGCAATGCCAGTGTTACCGAAAGCATTCGAGAACTGAATAAAGAATGTGAAGCTACATGCATAGTTAACTCTGACCGAAGAGGTCAGAATAGTTAAACTGGTTTGGTTTATAGTACGTGTGAATGCAACATGATGCTGTCCTTGGATTTTTGTTGATTATGTTATGCCAAGTTTATTTGCAATAAGAAATTGTTCAAAATCAATCCCATTTATCCTTTTAAATTAAATATACAAACAATTTACATAAATTACTAGAAGAAAGAATGGCACTTGTGGTCTCTAGGGAGAGTGTTCTTGGGTATTTTCGACGGTTGGCTAGGGGATAAGAAAAATACAGCCACATTTAAATATGGAAAAACAAAATAGCTATGATATTTTAGCTATGATATTTTAGCTATGATATTTTAGGAAATAATTAAAAATACATTATGGGAGATTTTTATAAGGAGTTAGCCATTCTTGCTATAACAGTCCAAAAATAGATGATGAAAGAAGAATATATTGAAAATTTCAGTCAAATTACTTCATTCTGAACATAGTTATCACCAGTGTAATTTTTGACAAGAAATGGGATTGAATTCCATTTTCACCGATTCTTAGTATGGCTGATCGTCTTTTGTCAGCTGTCATCATATCCGAATTTGTGTTTTACCTTTTTGAATTTTTTATAACAATTGGACAAAATGAGTGAGAGGGTAAATTTTTATTCTTACTAGTATTTTGGGCATGCATTAAACCAATTGAATATAGGACATAATATTATAATACAATTATGATAAATCTATAGGTATACACTAGTGGCATTGTGCCTATTGGGGAAATAAAAATATTTTTATTGATATTATTAAGACAGAAGACCTGTCTGTCTGTATTAGTCATCTCACGGTCTCCAGGAATTGTATAATTTGTCATTATCTGTGTTTAGTTTATTGCACTTTAAATAATTTAGATGTCATTTGTTAAGGCATCACTCAACAGCGGCCTCGCTTCGAACACTCATTTAGCCTCGATCCGGGAGTATGACGTCAACGTAACGGTTAATCTCCGCTCACGACGCCATTTAAAATTAAATCAGTCAACAAAATCTCGTTTAAATCCAAGCTGAATCCAAGCCATCCGTGGGTCTACAGAGTTGATTTTGTGCTTGTTGTGTAAATAAAGGTCTAATTTATAATTTCTATGACATCTGAAGCCTAAATAAAGACTTGCAATAATCAGATTTAGCTCTTGCATAATGTATGTTTAATAGGAATTTGCCCATCTACAACAGAAGATGTAAAAATTATTTTGATATAGTTCTCTTCCTATTTTAGCAAGCAAAAACTCCCAGCAAGATGTTACAAAAAGACTCCTGTCTGCAGGCAGTCACCATGACATCCACACCCTTTCAAGGCTATTTGTCGTTATATAAGGTCTAAAAAGTGATGTTTTACGATTCCTACATATATGGTGGCCATATGATTTAACTCGGGATCAAATTAACTAGGTCAGTGCTAGACAATAATACTGGTGTGAACAGTTAAATCCGAGTAAAAAGGATGGTCAAACTTTGTTTGCATCAAGAGTAAAAAGGCATGGCTTGTCAATCTTCTATTAATAACAATCCTCTAGGGCATTCCTTACAAGACATTTCCTGCTGTCCTGTGTTATAACAGAAAGAAATGGCTGTTTTCTGAAAGAATAAACTTCTTGAAAGGAAATGGATATTGAGTAGGAAAAACATTAGGTTAAAAGTCAAATGGTTTTTGTTTTAAGATAAATTCTGTATCCTGGTTAAGTGAAATCAGACGCGTTTTTAAAAATATTTAGACTACATTTAGTGATAATCTACCTCGATGTCTGGCAAATTTTTATTCAATTGAATATTATTGGACAATCATAACAAAACTGTTCAAGCTCTTTAGAATTCGGAGAGATGTACAATTTTCAATTGATTTTTTCATCAAAATTGAATATATAAATCATATGTTCGCTAGAAACCTTTATATTTGTCCAAACTGCAAATATTTTTCATGATAATGAAAGAGACAAAAGCCTGATTATTCACAATTTTCGTATCATGAGCAATTCTATCATTTAAAAATGAATAGAAAAGTAAAAATGTTGAAAACTTTCATCATTAGGGCATGGGTATACATGTATACCCCAGAACAGGGCAGGGTACCATTTGTATACCCTGGTACCCTGGATCTCTGTCTGGAATGGCCACCAAATTAAAAAAAATAGTAGACTTATTAGTAATATGGTTCTAAACCGTTTTTTAAAAACCTCAATATATGATAAGACCTGACAGGATCACCATGATTACCCAACGATTACAACCACGATTTTAATCGTAGCGCGAATCGTGACAGTGGGAACCTAGCATCGGTAATTGAACACATTAAAATAAACACAACAGTTCTATGAACCCCAATTACTGTATTTTTAATTGGAGCTACGTCTCTACAATGATTCTCTTGTCATATTCAAGCACAGTACTCGTACACTTTACACATGATACTGTTAAATAAAAGTCTTAAGTGAAGACCCTCTATATTTATACATTTTTGACAGATCATGAGCAGAGAGCAGACCAGGTCTCGAGTTCAAAAAGCATTCTCAGACTTAAGAATTTACTCAAAAAAAAAACCCTTTTATTGTTTTAATGTATCAAATACATCAGTAAGAAACTATGTGCAATGTTTTTTGTTTCTGGATGAAAGATATTTCTTATAAACAGTGATTGAAATTTGAGTAAATTCTTAACTTTTAAGTCTGAGAATGCTTTGTGAACTCGAGGCCTAGATAACAATTACAAAAATGGTTTTGACACATTTTTGTTGCTTTTGCACATACAGTTATGTGTTCCTTTAAAATATCTCAATGTCACTTACATAAAGCAGACCTCTGTTATTAGTCTTGTATTACAACTTTGTTTTTTTTTATAAAAGATATTATTATGACTGTTAATTATTTTATTGTTATGAAAGAAGTGCTAGGTAATCCATGGTTTTATGAAGTGACCTCCCTGTACTTTATTTAGCATGTATTGAAATTACATCACACAAATGAAATGGGATTTAACTAAACTAGGCTAATGTAATCTGCTATGAGGAAACTTTTGCCCCGACAAACAGCGGCACTATGACCTATCCTTATTTCTGTTTACAACTGTCAGAGGATCTTTAATATGCTGTCTGTGGTATCCATGGGATCTTGGTTTTTCATTCCCTGGTTGTACCTGACAAGGAGTAGGGTCCAATATGCAACCTGGTGGGTCTCTCTCTCTCACACACACTCACATATAAACCAAACAAATGGACATTTATTTTGTCAGGTCTTCTGTTCTGCATTACAGACAAGGTGGGAATGAACCTGAGATTTTCTGTTCAGTAAGTCAGAACCATACCCGATGTCACCATGCTTCCCTTTTACTGTTATTGCTTATTTTGCATTAATTTCTTCTATCGTTGATATAACACAGGGGCGTGTCTATGAATTTAAACAGAGGGGCTTCCAAGGTGGAGACGACCTCAAGTTTGACACAACCTCAAGTTTAAGGTTAGGTCAAGGGGAAACTACCTGTGTATTTGAGAAAATCGGACAATAGTTCTGTTCATTTAGATGCATGCATGTATAGGATTACAGTGGAGTGAGCCAGAACAGGGTTATTTCTATGAACGCAGGGGGGTTGGATGGCTGAATGGTTAGCGTGCGCGCGCTGTATCATAAAGTCTGTCATTGAGTCGACTGGCGTGGTTTCTAATCCCCGGTTGTACGTGACAAGGAGTAGGGGCGCCTGTCCAACCTCGTGGGTTTTCTCCGGGTCCTCCGGTTTCCTCCCACTGCTAAAGACCCCTACGCGCAAGCGAATTATTGAAATAAAATTAAACCATATGTTAGTCCCGAAATGACCTAGTTTGTGTCGAGTGGACGTTAAACCCCATTTCTCTCTCTCTCTCTATGAATGCAGGAGAGAAAAACAGTATTCTCTGTGTCAGCGGGGGTGGGGGGTGGGGGGTGGGGGGGGGGGTATGGACATGTGTCTGTAACAGTGTAATCTTATCAATAATTATATGTTTGCTGATAACCAGTGGCCTAATATCTCTTAATTGGGATGTCAACTTTTTAAACGATGATATAAGATAACTGACAACAAACCTCTTTAATTGCAGCATAAGCTACTTCTGCTGTGTTTAAATCTTTAGAATAAGCTGCCATGGCGGCTAAACATGACCATAAACTGTCATCCTGAAAATAACACGGAAACTTTTATACTTTGATCAATGCCACACAACTATAGTTTTTAGCCATATTTTGATCTACTGCTATTCAGACCATTGAGAATGCTCCAAATAAATTGTTAATTGATTATATAAAAAATACACTATTATAGAAAAAGTAAATTCTTTCATTTCACATCGCTATAATTCTCAGTAGGTTTAATTTAAATCTGACCAAAAAAGTACCAATATCTAAACTAATTCTTTCATTTTAATTAGAATTTATTGTTTTCTCCAAGACGGGATTCAGGAAAACCAAACCTGGAAAATGGACAAAGGGATGTAACTCCTTTTAAGCAATGTAAATTTTTTTTTTTCAAACTGATTAAAATACAGATCTATATTTCGTTTTTTTTTTTTTATACTTTCGATGGCCTCTACTACATGAAGATCTGACCAGTTGTAGTGGGAGGTAGCGTCAGGGGTTATACAAATGTTTTTTGTCCCCATGACATTAGAATTTGATTAACCAAACAGACTTGATGTTTCTAGTAGGATACCCACATTTCTGTGCATCCCACGCCAAGAACTTGCTGCAACAGACTATTTCATTGGCTAATCCCTCACATCAACCAGAATGTTGCTTATATAACAACTCTTGTAGATCCTAGTGCAGTAAAGACAAGTAAAAGAAAATTTTGAACTAAAAAACGAAACGAAATAGGATTAGCGTTTTAATCGGATTGATTTTTTTTTTACCCATGTTCAAAATAATTTGTGTAAATCTTCGACATTTCAGAGAAAACTTACCTTAACAAACCTACAGAGTCTGACGGCATCTTCCCATCTTGACCCATTAACATAATCATGTAGAACTGCTATGTACGGTGATATAGATGTACTGACTAACGAACCTTCAGAACGTCGTAATATAAGATGGTTACCAACGAACGCCAGAAGTTGAGGTGATTTACCAAACTCCCTAAAATTTAATAATAATGTGGTAATATTATGGTGTTGACTAATAATTGTTTATAGATTCACAGTCAAGCAGAATAACACCTGAAACAACAGAAATCTACATGACTAGAACTATAGGTTAAAAAACACATTTGTCAGGAATGCAATGTGTCTGTTGACCAAATTTAGTAACATATTCCTACCAGGGTGCAAGGTTTGGGGTATGTCTATTCCATATTTGTATGGTCAGTCTATGACATAAACCAAATTTAGTAATAAGTCCCCCCAGAGTGCAAGGTATGGGGTATGTCTATTCCATATTTGTATGGTCAGTCTATGACATAAACCAAATTTAGTAATAAGTCCCCCCAGAGTGCAAGGTATTGGGTATGTCTATTCCATATTTGTAATCTAGGACTGTGGTCAGTCTAACACATAAACCAAATTGGGGAGTGAGCACCATAAAAAAAGAATGGGGGACAGCATTCGGCAGAACTCACACCATCTATCATATCAGCCATTTAATTATTCGGGAATGAGGAAGATTTGTGACTAACGCTACAAGTTTTTGGACAATAAAAAATAGAAAAAGAACCTGAACTGTAATTATAGTTTTTGTCACGGAAGTGAAGGCAATGCAAAGCTTAAAGATCGAATAGTACTACGGAAATAAATCGGGACATGAAAATGGTGACGGATTTGACAGTATGCCGTAGTATTCAGATGTCGGAAGTTACAGAGTCCACTATATAAAATAAAACTTACGCTGAATCTCGTTGATATTGTGTACTAGTTAGAAGATCTTTATCTACGTATACAGTATTCGGATAATACCATACTAATATTTTACCATCAGTCATACCAGCTAACATATTAGTTTCATCATTCCATGCCATAGAATGGATCATTGGACCTGAATAAAACAGACAAAACTACAGTATTTAGACCAGTGGTTCTCAACGTTTTTTTGCTAACGGCACACCTTGAAACACATGAACAAATAGCGGCACAATTGGCTAAATATATATGAAAATATTTGAATTTTGCAAAATAAAAACATGGTAAGTCAGACGGAATACAACCGTAAACAGAGACTAGTCATAGATACATAGAATGACTCAAACTAAATAAAGAAAAACACAGCTATGAACTTATCAGTAGACACCAGTCAAATCTCAATTGGGATCATGTGGTTTTTCGCATTTTTTTAGTTTGCCGTTCAACATTTCGCAGCACACTGGTTGAGAATCACTGATTTAGAAGGACAGCTGACTAGTCTTTTGGATGGGACGGAAAAACAAGGTGTATACATTGGCGTGCACATAAAGATCCCTTGACAGTTGGAATTCTATATAAGAGTGTTGCTGCCCAGGCAAAATTTCCCTCATAGCACACTGTATGGTGTATGCCAGTATTCATTAGACCAGTCAGAGTAGAACAGTAGGACGTTAAACACCATTTTATTTGATTTCATAAAATAATCTGTAACTGATTTAAACTGTCATTTTCCACTTGTGTATTATATATAAGAAACTTGATAATCAATCTAGAAATCAACAGTTAAATGTGTTCATGGCTTTTTTTTGCACATTTGACCAATTTCCCCGAATTGGGCCCCGCACTAGAAAGGGGCCCCGCAACTCACCAACTTAATAAGATAAAACATTGTGGTATGTCATAAAATAAATCCACAAAAATGAATTCTTATTACCTAATTTGACTGATTTTCTTTCCGCACCAAAAACACGAACAGACGTCATATGTAGATCTCTATTTCTATCTATGATTGCCAAACGACGCTCTCCGGTTGGTCCACACTGATCTAAGGCAACTTCTATAACCTCTAACTGTAGAAGATAATAATCTAAATTAATGATATTATCCTAAAATCGAACAACATTGCATAACAAACTTCAATAACAAGAACAGAGCCGAGTACTGCAGCTTGGAACGTACTGCAATCTGATTAAAATACAGATCTATATTTCTTTTTTGTTTTTTTTATACTTTCGATGGCCTACACTACATAAAGACCTGACCAGTTGTATTGGGAGGTCGCATCAGGGGTCGTACAAGCAGATTTTGACCCTATGACGTCAGACATTAATCAATCAACGTTGACGTTTCTACATTTCTAGTGATTTACCCACAGTTCTGTGCATCGTACGCCAAGAAGTTGCCATAACAGATGGTTTTACTGGCTAATTCCTCACGCTATCCAGAACGCAGGTTATATAACAACTCTTCCAGATCCTAGTGTAGTAAAGACAAGTAAAACGAAATTTTGAACTATAACAAAAGGAAACGAAATAGGTTCTGAGCCATGGTGCGTACTAAATTTTTGATCAGGAAAATGATTGATAAAACCAATTTTAAAAGACTTAAGGCAGGACACTACTTTATAAAACACTCTGTATAGATTGATCTGTCAAATTTTGATATCAGCTAAATTGCCCAAAATAGTTAAAATTTGTTGATTTTTCAAGTCGTGTCAAGCCTTTATATTATATAGTGTTAAATATTTAGTCATTTGTATAGGTAAATCAAATTTTTAACTTTTAACTTGCTTTTTTCCGTACCCAATTTTTCACCCATATCAGGTCTTAGAAAATCAAATTCTCAAAATCTATGAGAGATAATGGTCTTATCTTTGGAATACGATTAGTGCTATAGCTACTGTTTGCAATAAGGTGATTTTCAAAGTGTTTGTTATACATTTGGACATTTTATTGTACAAAATTTTTTTAGTGGTGTGTTTGGCACACCCACTTATTTTATGTGGAATGCATAATGTTCTTTATTAACATTCAAATAGTAAAATTTACGCCTTATTGCACTCTTTAATGCCTATATATGTTATTCCAAATCACAAATAGTTTGTTTCAATAAAATTGTTGAAGATTTTTATTTCCTAACATAGCCACCGTGAATATATAAAAAAAATCCAATATGGCCACCATTTCCATGGCAACAAATAAAGATTTTGTGCTCAAATTATCAAATCTGATTTTGGACATCATATACTAATATTACACTAAATGGCAAGTTTCTGTTATCAATGTAAAATTCTTAGGTAGTGTCCTGCCTTAAAAGGGCATAATGGGAGATAAGATAACAAGTTGATAGTTTTCACTATAATAGTTAAAAACTAGATAACGTCGGTACGATCAAAAACAAAGTCTCAATTATCCATTTTTACGTTTAAGCATCCTTCGCAAAATGTATTCCAATCCGCTAAATATTGCACGCTAGCGATGACATCGAGAGTTGATTATGGTCTGCATAAGATAATTAATGTCTAATTAATAATTTAGATAACATTTCAGGCGACTTCTTGGCATGAGATGCAGGGAACTGTGGGTAACCCACTAGAAACATCAACGCTGATTGATTGATCAATGTCTGACGTCATAGGTTCAAAAACAGCTTGTACGACCCCTGACACGACCTTTCACTACCACCGGTCAAATCTTCATGTAGTGTAGGCCATCAAAAGTATAAAAAAAACAAAACGAAATATGGATCTATATTTTAATCAGACTGGCTACCAGTGATGGGATTTCAAAATTTTTCTTGTCAGACATTTTTTTCCCGAAAATAAAGGGGCATAACTTTTATCATTATTTAAGCAGACGTTTTCAAACCACAATTAAGAATCACGTGTCAACAAAATATTCAAATTTATACGTAATAAAAAAATATCTTCACCTCGTTATTTTTCATGCTTAATTCCCGTACGGTATTAAAATTTATGTCAATAATATTCTTACAAAATTACATGACATCGTAATACCATAGAATGAAAGTGTGACGACTACTGTCGATCGGTACCTGTTTCAAATTCCCCCAAAATTACCGTATTTTTCGGGTCATATTTCGATACATTTTTCAGCAAAGACCGGCATTTATCTCATACTCCGTTTTGATTTATAAACGAAAGGAAAAATATGACATCCCGAAATTTATTTCGTAGTAAATGCCGCTCAAAAACGAGCGAGGGACACCAACTGCAGCTAAATAATCGCATTCGACTCTAGCACGCGCTATCGTCTAAAACAATTAACTAACCTTATTCCAATCGACATAGTCGTCAACATTTCTTAGCATGTTTATTTATTTATTTAAAAACATAAACCCCACTCAAAATATGATCATAAATCTGACAATATGCCATCAAAATAGAATCTTTTCTCTCACATCAGGCGTGTTGATTCGGCACGTTTAAATCTCTTAATTTCACGTGTCTCGCGAGATGACTACTTTCATTTTGAGTTACTTTACTAAAACAATTAACTAACCTTATTCCAATCGACATAGTCGTCAACATTTCTTAGCGTGTTTATTTATTTATTTAAAAACATAAACCCCACGTATTAGATTCGGTACGTTTACATCTCTTAATTCCACTTGTCTCGCGAGATGACTACTTTCATTTTGAGTTACTTTACTAGAACCATGCGTGTGTGTGAAATAGCTTTATTTAATTTTGGCTTCCACTGAAGGAATATCACAGACAAGTTATCGGATACAGTGTATATTGAATCGAAGCATGTTGAAAGTTATAATGACTGTCTATTGATGTCTATTACAATATGTGACATCTATAGTTTATACATATTGTCGGCTCACATCAATGCGATTAATATGTCCGACAATGCAGAAACCACGAGGTTAACACGAGGATTAAAATTATATAATCACAGTTATTGGATTGATGAATATTCCAACAAAGGGGAAACAATGACTTCTGTTTACGACTAGATTGATGAACTGTCGGTCAATCAAGGCAGATTAAGTAGTTAATAAAGGTAGGTTATTTATAGACGGTATAAAACGATAAATACGTTGATCACTTAATTACCTAATCAATCCAGCGTATTATCGACGATAATTGGGTTGAGTGGTAGTTATACAATCAGTAAACTATTAATTTCAGAATTTTGAACATTATTCACCATGTCTTGGTGTCCGATTGGGCATATTCCCGGTCGGACAATTTTGGGCCTCTGTCTATCACTACTTTATTAATATGTAAAGATCATAAAACATAAGTACCTTATGTGAAATAGGTTTACCATCTCCCATTACTTTACCAGTTTGTGCATCAAATACATAGATTACTGAAAAAACAAAACAACCCAGAACAAATGTAGTAATTATACAATTTATGAAACTATTGAAGGTTTAACTATGTAAGTGTTGCAATAAAAGACCCGAACAAAAACTTAAAATAAATAAAGTCCAATAGGAAAAATGTGCATGCCTGTTTTTGTCTCCAAAAAAAATCCCATATTGGATGGCTGAATAGTTAGAACATACGTACTGTATCATAAGTCTGTCATTGAGTCAACTGGTGTGGTTTTGATTACCCGGTTGTACATGACAAGTTGTAGGGTTGCATGTCCAACCTCGTGGGTTTTCTCCGCGTCCTCCCACTGCTAAAGACCACTACACGTAAGCGAATTATTGAAATAAAATTTAAACCATATATTATTCCCGAAATGACCTAGTTTGTATCAAGAGGACATTAAACCCCATTTCTCTCTGTTCGTCAAGATTGAATATATAGTACTGTAATATCTTACATTTTTCGTCTGTTTTATCTCTGATGGCTATAGTATCATTACTAAGGGATATTGTTTGTGTATTAAGTATATCGGCTTTCATTCCCTGATATCTGGGTGAACATACTAGACGTCCATCATATGAATATACATAGACACCACCTCCATCAACCATCACAAAATGTCTGAAATAAAACATACAATATCATTAAAAAAAATGATGTACGTAACTATCAACATCGTGAAGTGGATCACAGCTTAAAGGGTCATTATGGAAGATTAGATAAAGAGTTGACTGTTTTCGCTATAATAGTTAAAAAATAGAGAACGTTAATAGAATATGCTGAATATTTCAGTCAAATTGCTCCACTTTGAACCAAGATATTAGCGATAGAATATCAGGCTAGACTTGATCATTATTACTAAAGGCGGTAAGATAAAAAACAAAGTCTTGATTATCCATTTATCGATTGAATTATTTTTCAAAAAATGTATTCCAATCCGCTAAATATCGCAGGCTAGCGATGGCATCGAGAGATGAATATGGTCTGGATAAGTTAATTAATGTCTAATTAATAATTTAGATAACATTTCAGGCCTAAAGAAAGACCTACAATAGGCAGATTTAGCTCTTGCATAATGTATGTTTAATGAAGCAATGCAATTAAAATTTGTCCTCAACATAATAAAAACGTTATGTGATAATTTGGGTCACGGCCAGGCTTGTAAAAAAGAATACTTGACAGTTGGAATTCAATAAAACGTAGGTGAAACTATAAGATATCAAATCCCATTTCATTTCATTTCACTTCGTTATATCCCACCAAAATTTTCTAACACAGTAACGTTGATATCGTTGACTAAGCAACAAATAACTGTTATAAATGAAAATATACGACATTAATAGATCAAAGTCATCAGTATATATACATAATGTGTATTAGTTAGTTTAAATTGTTAGTAATCAGGCAGTATTTATTAAGTAGGTGTTTTGTCACTAAGGTGTTAAAACTGTGACTATTGAATATATACATCACTATTGGTTAGGTTTGTGTATTCAATAGTGATGGGTGTTATAAATAGTCACATCTTTTACAGCTAGTAACACACTTACTAATTAATGACAACTGTATAATTTTTAACCACTTTCTATACATACTAAACATTAGTTTAGAATAATGATTATATGATCTAATGACAAAAATTGTTATTACTAAATAGCCTAGCTTCATTAGTCAACGGTATCAGCTTACACGTGTTATCAAGTAAAGTATCGCTTTAACAAACTTACTTTTCAGCTTGTTTAATTAATGTGACACTTCCTTCTTTCAGGTCAAAGATCATTGGTGTATTCCAATTTCTCGAACTGTAAACATAACACTGTGATGACGTGGCTACAACTAGGTGGTTAAACGACAACGATACTTTAACAATACGATCACGAAAATCTAACTTCTCTAATGTATCGTTCATAACATTCTTAACAATTATCTGTTTACTAGCATTTACTGTAGCTTCAAAATTCTTCCATTCTAATCGTCTGAAACAAAGAATAATTAGAATTTCATCTTTTACTCAACATTTTATAAACTCATTTTAGTAGTTCTCAAACAATTTTTATCAATTATCAAACGATATTTTGAAAGTAAACTATATGTATACTTTCTTGAGGACCCGGAGAAAACAATGAGTTTGGACAGGCGACCCTACTACTCCTTATCAGTCCAAATTTGTTTAATTCCATTCAGTATTCACAAAGATATGTCGAACAGAATATTTTAACAAGATATGGCTTCCCCTGCAGCAGACATAAACAAGCCGGTACCTCTTGTAAGTGTTGAGTAAAATGTTTTGATGTGCCTCTTTTTAATTGGATTAATCCAAGTTGGGAGACCATTTACCTGGATATTTTGTTTTTTTTAACTAAATGTTGAATACCCATTTGAGCGTGGATTCAGTTGGGAAGAATTAGATATTTTGTCAACAAATTGCATTATTTGGATTTGTGCCTTTAACAAAACAAATTTTTCAAAATATTTTCTATAGATAATCTCTGTTTTAAATCCAATACAAGAAATTATTGAGTCAACTGCGACCTATCACTCCGTATATCTTTTCTGATACCACAATCAAATAATGTATGGAATAGTTTACCTCTCAATAACATTTGCAATAAGAACTTGTCCATTTCCACAAGCACCTGCTACTTGAGTACCATCACTAGACCAAGCTAGACTAAATATACTACCAGTATTCGGTTTCTCTAAAGCATACGACCACTACAATAACAATAAAAAGTTCAGTTTAAAGGAGCTAAATCGCTAATATTTGGGACCTACAAATTGACACAAATGGGTTGCAATTAGGTACAAGCTAGGAATCGAAACCATGCCACTTATCTAAGTGACACACCTCAGCATAATGGGCACACATTATCCGACTTGACCACCCACCCCGTAATAAAGATAGAAGATTAACATGAAATGAAATGGGGTTAAATGTCCAAATGTTCTGCTCCAAATAAGGCTAATGAAGATGGGCATCCACCATACTGTGTGCTATAAGCGAAATTTTATCCGGGCAGCGGCACTATGGCTCACTCTTATTAAATTCCAACTGCCAAAGGATCTTTTACGTACATGCCAATGTATACACGGGATCTCGTTTTTTTCGTCCCATCCAAATGAACTCTCTCGGCCAATGCAGGGATCAAACACCCGATCTCCAGGCTAGCAAGGCAGCGTCTTATCTATTTAGCCACCATGGCTACCAAATAAAAAGACAGCGTATTCTTTATAGAACTCTAGATATATGTAAGATAACATCTTATTAATTTGGGCAGTTCACATATCTAACAAGCGATTTTCTACATCTATATTCCAGTATAATTCTATGTTTCACCTACCCCACTTCTATCACATAATCTTAAAGTATTAAACGATCCAACAGCGAACATTTCTCCGTCTGGTGTCCAAGATGCTGATGTTATAGGGTAATCATGTGCTGCACTGTTATATATCATACGACCATATGTATCCCATACCTAATAACAAAATAAAATTATAAATATAGGTTGCCATACCTAGAAACAAACTAAAATTATAAATATAGGTTGTGGCATTGACAAGATTCTACAACATGATCAGCGGCAGTAACTCGAGAAGTAATTATCAGAAATGGTGGCACTGGGATGGACACACTAAAGGTCATGGGCAACAACATTTCTGTTTGGGCATATAAAAATGGAATTCAGTTGCTGTTAAGCTCTAGCCCCTTGCTTGTCCACTCTGTCACGACCTTCTACTACAACCGGTCAGATCTTCATGTAGTGTAGGCCATCAAAAGAATAAAAAATGAAATGAAATATAGATCTGTATTTTAGTCAGATTGATGTAGACTAAAAATACAGTCGTTGTTGTTTGAATTTTAGAGGAGAGCCGAAAAAAACTCCCCTTAATGAACAAATTGAAAAAATCGCTCCCCTACAAAAATGTTCCGATTTCAATAATAAGAGTGATTTTAGAAATTAAGGAGAGTGATCTGATATTAAGGATAGTGATTAGTTGTGTGTATGAGAAATGGTTCTGAAGATCAATAACTGCATGTTAGGGTGTCGTTCCTGGATTCATCAATGATAATAAACCCCCCATGACTTTGTAAAGAAGAGTGATTTTCAATTTTAAGGAGAGGGAGAAAAACCCCTCCTTGGTCGACATTCAGGTGAGCAGCAGGCGCTCGAGAGTGATCACTCACCTAAAAAACACAATGACTGAAAATATCAGTATTATTCTCTAATCTAGGAAATGCACCAAAGATTTGATATTTTTTTAAATATACTTAAGGACGGAAGAACTGAGATTGGTATGGTTAATAAAATCCAATGTATCTTTATTATTTTAATCTTGAACTTACTCTGTATCTACAATCTTCTCCAGCAGAAATAATTAAATTATTTACAGGATTCCAATCTACAACCAATATAATTCCATCACTGCCTTTCCACTGTAAATAGTATAAAGCAATTTTAATCAGATTTTCACATGGAACTTTTAATACTAAATTAACTATGACTGTGGAGACTTAATTTATATACAGAGAACAACTGATTCGAAGTAATTGTAATGTACTATGAACAAAAGGTATCTTTTCAAATGTCAATTAAAGGGGCATTAGATAATATTATATAAAGAGTTGACAGTTCTGGCTATAATAGTTCAAAAAAAGATAATGAAAACAGAATATGCTGAAAATTTCAGTCAAATTGCTTCACTCTGAACCAAGATAATAACAATTCAATTTTAGGCTAGTCTTGAACGTTATTACTACCACTTGTACGATAATAAACAAAGTCTTGATTTTCCATTTTTACGCTAAATGATTCATCATAAAATGTATTCAAATCCAGTATATATCGCAGGCTTACGATGGCATCGAGAGTTGATTATGGTCTTGTTAAGTTCATTAATATCTAATTAATAACTTAGATAACATTTAAGGCCTAAAGAAAGACCTGCAATAGGCAGATTTAGCTCTTGCATAATGCATGTTTAATCAAGAATTTGTTTAAAAATCTAAGAACAAGTCTAACCAAATTATAAAACGAAGAAAAGAAAGGGGCTAGAAATTAAAAGAGCTATATAAATAATGATTTCTCACCATAGTAGGTTTAGCATTAGCTTGTAATGGTTTTAGCACCAGCTGTTTGCCATTAGTAAATAGAACTTGATCAGCATCTGGTCCCCACGATACAGAATATACTGGTAAACCTAAAATATATTTAATCAATATTTTAATCATTCTGTTCAAAACATTTTTGTGTATATCGGTTAAAAAATATCTAGAAAAAAATCTGTTAGTTGGCGAACAGACTTCCCAGATGGCTCTCAAGAAGTGGCTGAGACAATGCCGTGGACTATGCCTGCTATTCAATACCTTTCAATTTTTAAATGAAATGAAATGAAATGGGGTTTAACGTCCTACTGTGCATGCCAATCTTTCAATTTTTAATAAAATTTGATTTTAGAAAAAGTGTGAAAAACCCCCAAGAACACAGACAAGGCAAACAGAGAACTTTCAATCAATCAACCACAGTACATCTATTCCACCTCCTCCAGGGGGAGGGGGGGTAGTTTGGCTGAATGGTTAGCACATGCATATTATATCATAAGGTCTGTCATTGAGTCAACTGGCATGGTTTCCATTCCCTGGTTATACGTCCAACCTTGTGGGTTTTCTTCGGGTCATCAAGTTTCCTCTCACTGATAAAGACCCCTACGAGCAAGCGAATTATTGAAATAAAATTGTACGATATGTTAGTCCCGAAATGACCTGGTTTGTGTCAAGTGGATGTTAAACCCCATTTCTCTCTCTCTCTCTCCACATCATCAGTGAAATTAAAGAGTGACTCTGCTAGTATTACTTACTGTTTTGTGTTAATGTAGATCTTAACATTCCACTCCTCGACCAAATCTTAACTTGTCCATCTTCACCAGCTTAAACACAAACAAACAAATTATACAATTTTTAAAGGGACATTATGGAAGATTAGATAAAGAGCTGGCAGTTCTCATTATAATTGTTAAAAACTATATAATGCAAAGAGAATATGCTGAAAATTTACTAAGACTGTGCTATCTATATGTTTTGTAACAATCTTTAAAGGTACATTATAGAAGATGAGATAAAGAGCTGGCAGTTCTCACAATAATAGTTAAAAACTAGATAATGCAAAGGGAATAAGCTGAAAATTTCAGTTAAATCGCTCCACCCTGAACCAAGATACAAGTATCAGAGTTTGAATTTTAGGCCTAGCCTCGATCATCATTACATAAGTCGGTAAGATAAAAAAAACAGTCTTGATTATCCATTTTTGGATTAAATAATCAATGAGCGCTGAGCAGCAAATCAGATTCAAATCCAGTGAAAATCTGACAAATAAGATGGCATTGAGAGTTGATTATGGTCTTGGTAAGTTCATTTATATCTAATTAATAATTTAGATAACATTTCAGGCCTAAAGAAAGACCTGCAATAGACAGATTTAGCTCTTGCATAATGTACATGTATGTTTAATTAACAATTAACATTAGAGACAGATGGTACAATTTAGATATTGTACATGAATTAAGTGACACATTACTCGAAGAAGAAGAGACAGTTTGTTGTCCACGAACTGAAGCCAATTAAAATGGTGATGTAAAGACAATGTGAGTCATTTAAATTCTAGAACATGTTTGAAGATCTCTTTACCAAAACACAGTAAGCACCAATCGCCTCTTTTAATTCATTGCACCAGTGATGGAACTCATTATTTAAGCAGACGATTTTATACCACAATTAAAAATCAGTCAACAAAATATTCAAATCTCGTAATATTCCTTCAAAATTACGTGTCTTTGTTTATACTTCAGCAAATGAATGCAGAACTTCCGAAATGATTCCCAGCATTCATGGGGCAATACAAATGAACTAATCTGAATAAACACCACCCTGGCAACCTAAAACATACCTACCAAATTTCGTTCGGAATTGTTAAAGCACTTTAGGAGAAGAAGTAGTAATGACTCTTTACATGTACATTGAGCAGATGACAGACAGAAATGATGACATAAGCTTTTTAGCCCTATAGCCAGACCAGGAAATAAGGGTTTAGATGTACCTGACAAAATGTCAGGCACTAATGAAATAGTACCTGACATTCTCACTTTAGTGCCGGACCAGACATGCATTAATAACATCAATAAAAAAGACAAATCAGTGCTAGACAAAATGACAGGCACCAGTGGTTTAGTGCCTGACAAAGCCTGAATCTGTGCCTGACATTGTCTGTGAAAGGTGCCTTATTTCCAGGCAACCACAGTAAACAAATACCTGTAACTAAAGCTGTGCCATCTGGACTCCATTGTCCACACAATACAGCACCTTTATGAGCTTCAACTGTCTTTTCAATACGTCCTGTTCTGCTGATTAATCGGAACTTTCCTGAAAACAAGGTCATGACATGTATAAGTCCACTAATAAAAACAAAAAAATGTGAACTATAAATTTAAAAATCATTTCTTTACATTGTAACCCTTGCACTCACTTATAGACTTGTTAGTTTAAAATGTCTACCCTAATTTTTAAAAATTCATGAATAAAATCAGGTTTAGTTTTTATGTTAAAACCCAATCTGATTAAAATACAGATCTATATTTCATTTTGTTTTTTTATACTTTCGATGGCCTACACTACATGAAGATCGGATAAGTTGTACCGGGAGGTCGTATCAGGGGTCATACGAGCGGCTTTTGACGTCAGACATTGATTAATCAATAAGCGTTGACGTTTCTAGCAGTTTACCCACAGTTCCACGCATAGCATGCCAAGAACTGGCCCTAACAGACCGTTTGATTGGCTAATTCCTCACATCAACTAGAACGCCTGTTATATAACAACTCTTCAAGATCCTAGTGTAGTAAAGATAAGTAAAACAAAATTCTAAACTATACAAAACGAAACGAAATAGGATCTGTTTTTATCAGATTGCCCAACAATATACTTTGTTTTCACACATAAACATCTTATACATAAATAACAATCAAATTGATATTTTAACAGACTCACCATCTGTAGAGGTGAGAACGAAAACATCAGAAGCAGATTTTTTGGCTCCTCCACCTGTACTAGTTTTAGGAAACCAGTGCATTCCAGTAGGAAAACAGTCTTTTGGTAATGTCATAACATTTGATGTTTCATGGTTGCCGATCAGATTCCATCGAAGAATGTTGTGATCATCTGCAGATGTGAATAATTCGTCCGGTGTCGTCCATCCAACGCAGCTTACTAATTCGGAATGTTCAAAGTGTTAAGAAAAAGATTAATCTTTTAAATTTACCCTAGATAATTTTAAGTTTACAAACATTATTCTTATTTCCAGCATATCAATCTAATTAAAATACAGATCTATATTTTGTTTCGTTTTTTTATACTTTCGATGGCCTCTACCGGTTGTATTGGAGGGCTGCATCAGGGGTCATACGAGCAGCTTTTGACATTATGACGTCAGACATTTGATCAATGAATATATGTTGATGTTTCTAGTGGCCTTTCCACAGTTCCGGAAAGAGTTTTACACAAAGTGGATATTGTATAAACATGTTTTACAGGACAGATTTCGTTTGTCCGTCCGTGAGTTTTTACAGTTCTTACAGCCATAGATAGACCTATGGACATGTATATGAATGATATGGAATTTACCGGTGAGTAGGCTTATTTGTTCTGAGTTGGCGTGCAGGTATATGTGTGTCAGAGTGATATACTTCTAGGCATCCTAGTGTAATATTACAAGGTACTCAAGAGTAATACAGAGCGAGGCTCACGTGATGCGCTGTGCTTAAGCAAAGCTCTTTCTTGGTAACACAGAAGCGTAACTAAAACTGTCACACACAGACTGTTGATTAAAAATAAATTCAGACTGGAACCGGATACACTGGCCATGACTGAGCAAAACTGGCAATGTGCTTGTCAACTTCCAAAATGACATATCCAATCAATGACGTCACACATTTTTGACGTCTATGAAAATAATTCTCACACTTTTTTGTTCTTTTTTTTTTTTAAACAAAATTAATCATACAATTTGGATCTAAATAAATGAAAATCAATTCAGAAAAATGAAATTATTTACTATTATTTGTACACCATTGTATCAGTCGAGAAACTTAGTTATGAAGGTTTTATATAGAGTGAAGCTCTAAAGCATTGCGGGAAGCGCGGTGCTTGAGCAAAGCTCTTTTCCGGCAAAACAGGAGCATAACTGAAATTGTCACCCACAGACTGTTGATTAAAAAAATATTCAGACCGGAAGAGGATACACTGGGCAAAACAGGCAACGCGCATGTCAACTTACCATACGCGCCTCAGAACGATTTCTATGATGGGTCTAATCAATGACGTCATATATTTTTGACATCAATGAAAATAATTCTCACACTTTTTTGTTCTTTTTTTAAAAACAAAATGGCTGGGGCTATTTGCCACATGAGGTAAGACAATCAGGAGACTATTTGCTACATGTGGCAAGTCTCCAAACCGCAATTATCAACCGATTTCAATGAAACTTACAGATAACGATAACATTAATAATATCTCAGAGCAGGTAAAATTTCGACCACTTCCGGTTAGCGGTTTCGGAGACATCAGGTTACCACACATTTCATGTGGCACGGCTACAGACCGCATTTACAAACCAATTTCAATGAAACTGGCAGATTATAATAACATTAATAATATCTCAGAGAAGGCAAAATATCGACCACTTCCGGTTAGTGGTTTCGGACATATCAGGTTACCTCACATTTAATGTAGCATGGCTACAGACTGCAATTAAAAACCGATTTCAATGAAACTTACAGAATATGATAACATTAACAAAATCGCAGAGTAGGAAAAATTTCGACAACTTCCGGTTAGCGGTTTCCGAGATATCAGGTTACCAACCGATTTCCATGAAACTTGTAGATTATAATTACATCAACAATATCTCAGAGTAGCCAAAATTTCGACCACTTCCGATCAGCGGTTTCCGAGATATCAGGTTATCACACATTTCATGTGGCACGGCTACAGACCACAATCATCAACCGATTTCCACGAAACTTATAGAATATGATAACATTTATAATATCTAAGAGAAGCCCAGATTTCAACCACTTCCGGTCAGCAGTTCCCGAATTATCAGGTTACCACACATTTTATGTGGCACGGCTACAGACCACAATTATCAACCGATTTCCATGAAACTTACAGAATATAATAACATTAATAATATCTCAGAGTAGCCGAAATTTCGACCACTTCCGGTTAGCGGTTTCCGAGATATCAGGTTACCACACATTTCATCTGACACGGCTACAGACAACAATTATCAACCGATTTCCATGAAACTTCTAGACTATAATAACATTAAGAATAGCCAAAATTTCGACCACTTCCGGTTAGCGGTTTCCGAGATATCAGGTTACCACACATTTCATCTAAAACCGCTAACCGAAAGTGGTAGAAATTTTACTTACTCTGAGATATTATTAATGTTATCCTTATCTGTAAGTTTCATTGAAATCGGTTGATAATTGCGGTACGGAGACTTGCCACATGTGGCAAATAGTCTCCGGATTGTCTTACCACATGTGGCAAATAGTCCCAGCCAAACAAAATTAATGTATATAATTTAGATATAAATAAAAATCAATTTGGAAAAACTAATTATTTAACATTTTTTGTATCACTTGAGAAAATTAATTATGAAGGTTTTATATTTGACAATAATCAGCTTCGCTCTACTCGGACAATTCCTGTTACATATTATTACCATATGAATGATAGGCCTGTTATTTATCTTCGTAGCGCATGGACATGTTCAAATCAATCATGACTTTAAAAATTAAGGACAAAAATGGCTAGTAAACCGAATAAAAGGTAGAAACTAAAAAAATTTTTAAAAGGATATGTTTTGGTTCTTTCTGTAGGGTAGTTTTGAGCCTCATCTTTGATCACGTCCAACGTTTTTGGTGATGTCTTTGTCAAAATTGTTGTCTGCTACAAATAATAAAAACAATCAAATGTCAAGCTTTTGGTATTCGTTGAATGAGCATGCGCCAGAATTCCTTCACTTTCGTTCTGTGATATAAAATGAAAAGAAAACTATTCAAGAAATTTTGCTACTCAAGTATGACAATACTTTGAATTTCGAAATGCAACTCTTCAATGTAATTATAAATGGAATGTAGCTTGAAGTATATCTAGAAATTGCTAAATAATTTATAAATCCATATTCTACAATATTTCGTTTTGAAATGTTTCCAGTTCAAAATATTTTTACCAAAGGAAGCGCAGAGGTTTGTGGGTATTTACACCGGAAGTTATGGTTTGTTTTCAATGGATACGGATGATGTGAAGCTGAATATCAATGGAGTAGAATTTCTTATAGTTTTCCTATTTTGAAAATACGTAGGTTAGAATTAATGAAATATTTAGTAAATTCTAATCTCATCAAAACTATTCTCACCATCAATACTTGTGCCCTTTCGACTGAACGCGGATCGGTTTTATGTGTCGTAACGTAACCCCAAAGGCGAAACCAAAGGCAAAACTAAACTGAATGAAATGAACCATTCATTGCCTGAGAAGAGCGAAGCTGATGTGATTGTTGTTAAATAATATGTAACAGGCATTGCCTGAGTAGAGTGAAGCTAATGTGATTATTGTCAAATATAAAACCTTCATTAGGCCTGAAATGTTTTCTAAAGTATTAATTAGACATTAATTAACTGATTCAGGCCTTAATAAACTCTCAATGGCATCAGATTTCTCTGATATTAAATAGATTAGAATGGTTCAGCGATACTTTGATTTAATCAAATATGGAGGACCGAGACTTAGCTTCGATCAACCAGTACGGTGGTTGAAATCATTGCACACGTCTGTCAAACCTTCAAAGGCTAATATCTTCGCTTGCAATAGAGTAATTTGAATGAAATTTTCAAATTATTCATTTTACATCATCTACTTTCGAACTATTATAACAAGAATGGCTAGGTCTTTATCTAAATCTTACATAATGTATCTTTAAGTTTCTCAATTGATACAAACAATGTTGATATTGTTAAATAATTCCTATTTAGTATTTTCCGAATTGAAATCATTTGTATCATTTGTATGATTAAATTTTTAAAAAAAAGAACAAAACAAAAGTGTGAAAATTACTTATATTGTCATTGAATTTGACGTCAAAAATATGTGATTAGACACGCCATAGAAATATTTCTTCAAGATGCGTAATCTCGCTTTTGCGCTGGATTTGGTAAATTGACTGGCACATTGCTAGTTTTGCCGAGTGTATCCAGTTCTGGTCTGAATTTTTCTTATCAAGTCTGTGGGTGACAGTTTTAGTTACGCTGCTGTGTTACTGGAAGAGAACTTTGCTCGAGCACCACGCTTGAGGTGATGCTTTAGTGCTTCGCTCTATACTAACTAGCCAATAAAATAAATTGAAGCGCACAACCTAGCCATTACAGCAGCATAGGCTCAAAAGTTAGCCTACACCCAAAAATGTTTGTACAGTAAAATCACTGGATCAGATATCAGTGATTCATGCAAAATCCCAATTTGAAACCCCCTAACTCAGAATATAGTTTAAATGAACGTTGTATTATCAAATCAAATGTGATAAACAAAATGTGTTAAATTAGATCTAGTTCTAGTTATAATTTATTTGAGTTCATATGACAAGTGAACATAATTTTATTGAATATGGATTGAGGCAGATTTTGGAAAGGGATTTTCAATTTGCCATTACAAACTAAATATTTCGATAAACACTAGCACTACGAATACAATGTAATGTATAGGCCTATATATGAGCAAAAGATTTATTTATATAAGCTTATTTATTGTAAAAATGAAGTCTTGTCTATTTTATTAGGTTATTATATAATCCCATTGAAGTATATGTTTTTTAAAAACTAATTTTTAAAAAGCTATGGTACGTTTAAATGCTAAAATGTGTCCAAATATCATAACACTCAATTTTTTATACATTTCTTAACATACGTTTGTGTGATTTTCAGATGACAGCTTATTCTTTGATATGTCTCGTACGCCAAGCGGAAGTAAGCACAGTGGTAGTAGTTCCCATCATGTACAGGGTGAGAGTAGAACATCTATCAATGTAAAACTACCATCAGCTAGCACCCAGGGTCGACAAACTGTAAGTCCAGATAGAAAATCAGTATCAGAGATAAAGTTGTCACCATCACCAGCAGTTGTAACTCCTAGAAGTTCATTCTCTGCTACTCTTCAAGGTCAGGAATATGGCCATTCTCATCGAGTCCCATCACCCACCAGTACAGTAAGAACAACATCAGTACTGGCCAGAAGTCTTCGAAATGGTCCACAAAATGAAAAAGAGTAAGTCTCACGTTTTATCGAAATGTGTATATAAGAAAAGACTTGCTTTTGTGTTTATTTTTTAAAGGGACATTATGGGAGATTAGATAACTATACTTTTCCAGTTTATCGTTAAATTTTTGCTAATTCCTTAATATGTTAGTTTTTCACAATCATAAGGTACTATGTGGTGGTATTTGGTTTTATTTAATTAGTATTGGGTAGTATTGGGTAAATCGTTCTGCTGCTTTTGATGTGATATAAATTAAAGAATTTGCCATCCATGGTGATTAAAAATAATTACTGTAGTAATGTACAAGTAGTTTCTCTGTGATATTACAATGTAGTTTCACTATTATTGTGGCTTGATCAGCAAGCCATTATTGACACACAAAAAAATAAATCTTATTGTTGCGAGAATATTTGAACTGTTGAAAACAACACTAACAGCTTTATGTATATTTTTGACTACAGATTAATCAGACAAGCAGCAGCTTCAATCATTGAAAGAGGATGGATAGCACATCGAGACAAACAAATGTTCCGACTATTGAAACATTCGTTATGTGCTGCTGTAAGTACTTTAAATCACAACTGATATTTTCTTTGATTGGCATTTAGTAACTGAACATATTAACACAAGGTACAATTTTATGGATGCGCAATTACTGAGTTTAATACTAAACGATGTTTTGGCGAGGATACTGATCAAGACGAGAGTATCCTGGTCGAAACGTCGCTTAGTAAACATACATTATGCAAGAGCTAAATCTGCCTATTGCAGGTCTTTTATTTCACTATCACTGTTTAGTTGCATGATTGACATGCATGTCACATTTTTCTTTCTTCTACTTTTGTCAACAGGAAACATCCTTATCTTATGAAATTTTACGAAAAGTTTGTCCTGCAGAAGCAGAATTTTTTAAAGATAAAAGTTCTCAAATTAAAGTTAGATTCAGGTAATTATAATACATGTCAATGTATGGTACATCGAAAATAGTGGTGCACACAAGCTTCCATATTCAAAACTTCACAATGTGTGGGTGTATATTATTATTATTACAACATAATTATAGTGCATCCTTTCATATAACATGTTCAGGGGCACTTTACAAAGTGAAAATATAATCATAAATAAACAACAAGATTATGGACATGTTCAACAATTCAATAAGAATACGAAATGAAATGAAATGGGGTTTAACGTCCTACTGTTCTGCACTGACTGGACTAATGAAGTTGGGCTTACGCCATACAGTGTGCTATGAGGGAAATTTTGCTTGGGCAGCGGCATTATGGCCTACTCTGATATCTAATTCCAACTGTCAAGGGATCTTTTACGTACATGCCAATGTGTACACAGGACCTTTTTTTTTTGTCCCATCTGAACGACTAGACAGCTGTCCTTGTCAGACCCTCCGTCCTGCACCACTGACAAGGGGCATCCACCTCGGAAAATCACAATGAACTTTCTCGGCCAATGCAGGGATCGAACATGCGACACACCCAGCTAGCGAGCCAGCGTCTTAACCACTTAGCCACCGTGGCCCCCTATAAGAATACAGTTAAAGGGATGACCACATAAATGTTAAATATAATGAAATTTAAAGCTAAAAAGTGATCTTTCAATAGCAATTTAGGTCTTAAAGTCCATATTCGTATTTATTTTGGAATATTGGGCAGGTAAGGATGCTACAATGTTTGATGGTCAGTATGGTTACATGTTGTACTAGAGACCTAATATTTAAAATAGCACAAAGATCCTTCTATCTAATGTTAATATCAATTTCAGAATGTATACATTGATTTATTTCAAATAGTATATTACGCACTTGTAAAAAATCAAATAGCACAAAAGTTTCTATGTATTATGCTTGAATGTAATGTATTGTAAGCTATTTCTGTATGACAAGGAGTAAGGTCGCCTGTCCAACCTCGTGGGTTTTTCTCCGGGTCCTCCGGTTTCCTCTTACTGCCAAAGACCCCTACGCATAAGCCAATTATTGAAATTAAATTGAACCATGTGCAAGTCTCGAAATGACCTAGTTTGTGTTGAGTGGACATTAAACCACATTGCTCTCTTTCTGTGTAGTATAATATATATATCTTCTATAAGTTTGAAACATTGTTGATTTACAGGTTTGGTGGAGGTGAATTCCCTCCAATGATCTTTTTCAAAGTATTTTCTCATAATAATGGAAAAGGATTAAAATATTTGAGTGGCAAGAAATTAATCCGAGGAGCAACAGAGGTAGGCTAATGTTTAGATTTTCAATTTATAACTTTTTCTTAGAACTCTCCTAGTAATTATATATCAAAATGAATTTGATGTTTGAATCATTCTTTTGCAAGCAGCTTCTTATTAACCTTTAAAGGAGCTAAATCGCTAATATTTGGCACCTAGAAATTGACACAAATGGGTCGCATTGTTAATGTAATATGAATGTATATAAACTGATTTATGTTCAATCGCAATCTGGTTAAAACACAGATCCTATTTCGTTTCGTTTTTATAGTTCAAAATTTCGTTGTCCTTGTCTTTACTACACTTGGATCTGGAAGAGTTGTTATTTAACTCGTGTTCTGAATGGTGTCAGGGATAAGCCAATGAAACGGTCTGTTACGGCGAGGTTTAGGTGTGTTTTGCACGGAACTGTGGGTAATCCACTAGTAACATCAATGCTGATTGGTTAATCAAATGTCTCCATCAACAATAATAATTAAATATTACTGTTAAACATAAATTATGCAAGAGCTAAATCTGCCTATTGCATGTCTTTCTTTAGGCCTGAAATGTTACATAAACTATTAATTAGAATTTATTAACATGAAAGACCGTAATCAACTCTCAATGCCATCTTAAGTGTCAGATGTTCACTGGATTTGAATCTGATTTGCTGCTAAACGCTCATTGATGATTTAATCCAAAAATGGATAACCAAGACTATGATTTTTTTTTTATTGTACAGACTTTAGTAATGATGATCGAGGCTAGGCCTAAAATTCAGCATATTCTCTTTACATTATCTAGTTTTTAACTATTATTATAGTGAGAACTGCCAGCTCTTTATCTAATATCCCATAATGCCCCTTTAATAATAGTATAGTACTGAAAAGGTTAATGATAAGTTGATAATATGTGATTTGTTTCATTTCGGAAGCTAGAAATCTATTTTTGGTGTAGCATTTTACATGTACGGGGAAAGCAACATGATCTTTTCAGTGCTTTGGGCGTCTGGTGGTCTTAACCTAGTTCAGCTCTGAACGTAGGTCTCATTACACTCGCCCTATTGAATCCTTGTTGAAAAAGTATCGCGCACCCCCCCCCCAGTCAATTTTACTGGGCAACTTTTTACTGCTAAACGGTTGTGTGTCTGTGATTGCCTGAACAATGTAAAGGAACATTTTAGTGAGAAAATAAGGCTGTGCTTTCCTCGCTAGAGTCAGTATGTGCAACACAACATGCTGTTAAATATATGCCCCCTTCCGCTAAATGGCTTGGCAGAAGCCATTGAAATCTAAATATAGGGTAACACACAAATTTACGTAACTTGGCCATATATAACGAAATGAAATTTAGGTTAACTGGATGGAAAAATTGGTATCCGAGGTGAGCTAGTCTTAATCCAGCCCTGAGGATAAGATAACCAAAAATATATAAAGGTGGATGACGGACGATTGCCACACACTTTTACCAAATGGTATTTAACAGCCTAATAATAGTTGTAACCCTAACCTAATTGCTTTTTTCAGGCTGCCGAAGATTCCCTCAAGTTAATGGGTAATCGTTTATTTTATGATCACATGATACAAGATGCTATTCATCATCATCAATATAAAATAACAGATGAGGTGGATATTACTACACTAAAAGATTATATGCAGGTTAGTCAATACATTTATATATATCTAAAACACAGATCCTATTTCATTTCATTTTTTATAGTTCTAAATTTCGTTTTGCTTGTCTGTACTACACTAGGATCTGGAAGAGTTGTTATACAACCCGCATTCTGGTTGATGTGAGGGATTAGCTAACGGTCTGTTAGGGTGAGATTTTGACATGATGACCACAGAACTTTGGGTAAAGCACTAGAAACATCAACGCTGATTGGTTAGTCAAATGTCTGACATCATTACATGTAAGGTCAAAAGCCACTTGTATGATCCCTGACGCAACCTCCCACTGAAACTTGGCAGATCTTCATATAGTGTAGGTCATCAAAAGTATAAAAAGATGAAACGGAATATAAATCTGTATTTTAATCAGATTGGGTGGCAGAGAAAATAATATAACATCCCTGTCTTTGTAGTAAAACTTGAAAATATATTTTACCTGAAGTACTTTCTATTGTGTCTTTTTTGTAAATCATTGATTTGTTTTCCATTTTGAGTGAAGTCTGTATCATTACAGGCCTGGAATGTAAAGTGCAGTGGACGCTTACAGCTTGCCCCCAGATTCTCCTGTTTTTTTCATTGCTGGTCTCCTGTTTTTTCTTATCTGGGGGTTGACATGTCTGCCCCAGATCCATTCACTTTAAGATCACTTGATCTGATATGTACATTTGTATTCCTGCGCCAAACAAATTAGTTTTTGGTATATAATTTGGTATATAATTCCTCCCACAGCTAAAGACACCTAGACGCATGCGAATTATTGAAATAAAGTTGAACTACATGTATATGTTATACCCGAAATGACCTAGTTTTGGTGAATGGACTTACTATTAAACTCTCTCTCTCTCTCTCTCTCTCTCTCTCTCTCTCTCTCGCTCTCTCTCTCTCTCTCTCTCTCCCTCTCCTCCTGCACTATTAAATGTATCACAAAGTTGTTTTGAATTGTATTTAGGCCATATCAATTTGATTTTCTGTTCTTCAGGGAACCTCTGTTCAAATTTTGCTATATTATTGTTTCGTTAAAAGACGTTTTAAAAACCGAATTGAGTTGCGCTGTTCAAAATCTTTTACACTAGTTCCTAATTTTTAAGTTTTGAAATTTTAAACAAAAAACATCTTTCATGAGATTGGCCTTATTTATATATAGGCATACAATGCTGTTCATTTTGATTTGGGGAGCCAAGGTGGCTAATTGGTTAAGACGCTGGCTCAATAGCCTGGAGGTCGGGTGTTCTATCCCTGCATTGGCCGAGAAAGTTCATCTGGATTTTCCGGCGTGGTTTCCCCTTGTCAGTGGTGCAGAACGGACGGCCTGACAAGGATAGGTGTCTAGTCCTTCGGATGAGACAAAAAACCACGGTCCCGTGTATATATTGGAATGCACGTAAAAGATCCCCTGGCAGTTGGAATTCGATATAAGAGTAGGCGATAGTGCCGGTGTCCGGGCAAAATGTCCCTCATAGCACACTGTATTTCATTTCATTTTGATTTTTCAGTATATTGCCATCTTAGATGAAACACCTGCTTATCTTGGTGGTAAAGATAATTTTTGGAGAAAGTTAACGTTAGATGGTTAGTATATGTGCTATTTTATTTTTAAAAAACACAACAACATTTATATTAGAAACATTTGTTATTTCATGTACATTTCATTTAAGTCACTGTTTATAATTAAAACAATTTATCGGTGGTTTATCATTAGTTCAATCGGCTAGTTACTACCACAGACTCCCGTAACATGGAAAATATTTCAAAAATAACATCAAACTATGACTAAGTATATGTCTAAAGTCTGTTACGTCCATGTTCGTAAGCGAGATTATCAAATAACTGGTCGTACGTAACTAACGTACGAAAATTAAATGGTAGCTGGCTTTTTTTTCGCACGTACACAGTGAATGGCCATTTTGCTCAGTAATCCCAGCCAGAATTTGGCTATTTTTTTAAAATTGAGTTAAAGTTTTAAATTTTTGTTTAGAACTGAAATAAATTAACTTTTAGTCAATCCCCACGCTAAAAACAGTAACAGAATTGATTGTGTATAACTGAAATAGACAGGACCGAAGCACAAAATAGTGCCAATATGCCGACGTCAAATCTAGAGTTGTAGATGATGTTATTTTTGTGAAAAATCATTGGAAGAAGCGATAAGACGTTCTGTACGGATTATACAGTCCTAAAGGCTACAAGAAGGCTATTGTTTACAATGTAACATTGTGTCTTGTAATGTTGATAATGATCATAATGATGGTGTTTACATTTGTTTGTTGATGTGACCTCATGACCTGTGACGTTTAGATAACGTCATTTGGATATCATGGCTATTCACTGTGTCAGAGTCACTTCTCTGCAGGTAGGGTGAGTCTGTCGTTCAGATTGATAACTGGTCTGATTCCAATTTCTAACTCATGTTCAAATATTGGTGTATATAAATGGGAAAGCGAGGCTAAGTCTTGAATGTACCAGTGCCCTGGTTACCACAATGGACCTTGTGAAAACTACAAACAGTGAAAACTTGCCTCAGTAATTTGAATGAAAATTTCACTATTTCATTTTACATTATCTATTTTTTAGCTGTTATAGCAAATATAGTCAGCTCTTTATCTAAATCTTACATAATGTATCTTTAATTAAGAAGTTCACATATAGTAGGGTGACCTGTGCACCCAAAATTTTCGATACAGAAAGTTGGTCTCAACACGGCGAATGTACCCGCTTCAGTGGATTATCTCGAAGTGATTTCTCGCTTACTATGAACTATGATAATACTCAGCGGTAGTGTCTATGATACTATAAATAGCCATTGCACGTGCAATTCTTTACACATCTATCAACTATTACAGTCGTAAAAAATCTATTGTTGGCGATTCTGAATAGCAGTAACATTTAGCTTATTGGTTATTACAGCAGCTTTAGATATTACGTTCGTTTTATTTTTTAAATTTGCTTTATCATTGACTGTACCATTAGGAGCGGCATCTTTTGGTTTAGTACAAATAATATCTCTGAAATACTTGCGTTGGGCAAGAACATGATACTAGCACTAGCAGTAGTTTCATTTTACTTTCAACAGTTGTTGAGTTGCCCAACGTGTGTGTTTCTAAATCCAATTTATTGTTCCAGCTTTCTGTTATGTTTCGTAAAAAAGTAGTCTTGATTATCCCGCCCTGTTAATCAAGCGTAGAATGGTCGGTAGACTGGTTAAGTGAGACTACTTTCAAAACAAGAGCGTAACCTATTTCTTACTCACATGTGCTTGGATGTTATGGCCGACACTCGGAACCATCTTTCAGTGTATTATTTATGGATGATTAAATGGTCATAGCTTATTTAGTACAACATGGCCGTTTATTTAGTGACTATAAATGTTTGAAGCTGATTTAAGGCTTGGTGTATATATAGATATTGTGGTGTAATTGTCGAGATATTTGGAGATATTTATTTATGGTGGGGCACCCTACATATAGCTAACATTTTCTACTCTTCTTTTGTGAATGAATCTGATCATATTTATTTTTTAGTTTTACCCAGACATACAATATTTTATGATATTGTGGATTATGCTTATAATAATCGTCTTTCTACACGATTAAAAGAGGAGATAACTCTACTGATGATACAACCTTTATCTCAAGAAATAAAGTTACAACAGATAAATGCAATAGCTCAAATGAGGTATTACTGGAAATATTTATCATAATATGCATGTTTTTGTTCTTTCTAATGTCAGACTGCTATCGTCCTGACATACTTCTCACAGTGTTTCGTTTGATTAGAGTTTATCCCACTTAGCACTGCTGTAATGGAAGCAAATTTCTGTTCCAAATTTTGACTGGTCAATAGTCCGATTAACAACCAATAGCTAACTGCGTAACAATATCATTACGCTTTAAACAGAGCTCCAAATTGGACCAAATATGTTTACATAACGTCACATCTTGACTCACGATTTTATTACGTCCAATTAATCAGTGCATAGCAGAAAAACTAATTGCGTGACAATCAAGGCTATTAAAATGCATACAATGTAAACAATACTGTTTGGAGATGAACAATACTTTCACTGTTTTTTATAACTTAAAACAGTGTCCAAATTTTTAGGGAAGACCCCAGATTAAACGAAGGTCTGTCATGTTGCTGTACTTAGGAGAGATTTGATTGAACGGGAAGAATAGACACACTCCCTAAAAATCTCAAGTATCAGAAGCCAATCCACCAATGGCCAGAGATGGATTACTCGGGCCATTGCTTCAGGAATATGTGGTCCTGAGGAGTTAAAGTTTTGAGTCCTGCAAGATTTACCTGATTCTATATTATTTATAATTCAATGTGAATTATCTACCACTTGGTGAAAACTGATCCATAAAAAGAAAAATTCAATATCATATCACAACATGTTTGAATTCTTCTTTCATATAGATCACCATGGATACCAAACATCCCTGTACCTACACCCAAATCAGCTTTGAACAACCAGTCTGCAGGCAGACGTACAAAACAAGCGAGACTTAGAGCTTTAAAAATGAGAAGAATGTATGGTCTGGATGATAAAGTAATTGCATATTTAATTTTAGATATTAAATGAATTTAAACTACCATAATTGATGTGTCCACTGTGGTTTAATTGATATTGGATTTTGCAACAATCTGATTAAAATTAGATCTATATTTCGTTTCGTTTTTTTATACTTTCGATGGCGTAGACTACATGAAGATCGGACCAGTTGTAGTGGAAGGTCGCGTCATTTGTTATACGAGCGGCTTTTGATCTTATGACGTCAGACATTGATTAATCAATCAGTGTTGACGTTTCTAGTGGTTTACCTACAGTTCTGTGCATCGCACGCCAAGAATTTGCCCTAACAGACCGTTTCATAGTCTAATCCCTCACTTCAACCAGAACGCTGGTAATATAACAACTCTTCTAGATCCTAGTTTAGTAATGACAAGTAAAACAAAAGTTTGAACTATAAAAAACGAAATCTGTGTTTTAATCAGATCGTTTCACAAGCTAGACAAGTTTATGATTTATTTAGAGGCTGTTTTCAATGGATTTTTTTTATCTAATTTTTCAGTTCCGTCTTGGTGAAAATTACATAATGTGTGTGGCTTTTTTTTCAGAATCAAACTGCTAATGCTGATGATGAAACGTATTTAGCTCATTCTACATATTTAGATATGATGAACGGTGGTGATAACGATGATGACTGGGAACAGGAAGCTAATAAACTATATGAATGGACACAAGATTTATCATTCCATGATGATCTAGTAGCTACACCAAGACTTCTAGCACCATCATAGTCAATCTACTTAAAATACAGATCTATATTTCATTTCGTTTTTTATACTTTCGATGGCCCATACTACATGAAGATCTGACCAGTTGTAGCAATAGGTCGCGTCAGACATTTGATTAACCAATCAGCATTGATGTTACTAGCAGATTACCCACAATTCCATGCAAAATATGCCTAAAGTTTGTCGTAACAGACCGTTTCATTGGCTTATTTCTCACACTATTCAGAACACGTCAATGATAACAACTTTTCCAGATCCTAGTGTAGTAAAGACAAGTAAACAAAATTTTGAACTATAAAAACGAAACGAAATAGGATCTGTGTCTTAATCTGATTGCATCTTAGTAATAATACTATCAATTGAACAATTTATGAATCATAGGGCAGTTAACAAATTCAATTTATCTGCCATGATGATCTAGTAGCTACACCATGACTTCTGGCACCATCTTAGTAATAAATACTAACAGTTGAACAGTTTATGAATCATAAGATAGTTAAACATACATTATGCAAGAGCTAAATCTGCCTATTGCAGGTCTTTCTTTAGGCCTGAAATGTTATCTAAATTATTTATTAGACATTAATTAACTTATCCAGACCATAATAAACTATTAATGTCATCGCTAGCCTACAATATTTACTGGATTAGAATCTGATCTGCTGCTCAACGCTCATTGATGATTAAATCAAAAAATGGATAATCAAGACTATGTTTTTTATCGAACAGACTTTAGTAATGATGATCGAGGCTAGGACTAAAATTGAATCACTAAATTCTTAGTTCAGAGTGGATCAATTTGACTGAAATTTTCAGCAAATTCTCTTTACATTATCTAGTTTTTAACTATTATAGTGAGAACTGCCAGCTCTTTATTTAATCTCCCATAATGTATCTTTAACAATTTCAATTTATCTGCCATACTACCTTGATTTGAAATTATGGACAGCACATGATAGTGTTTCATCAGTTAAAGATGCATTATGTAAAAGAGCTAAATCTGCTTATTGTAGGTCTTTATTTTGGCTTCAAATTTTACATAAACTATTATTTAGGTATTTATTAACATGACAAGCTTCTAATCAACGCTCTAGGCAATTGTATGGCTGACATTTAGTCTTGATTGTCTAGTATTGTTGCTATGATATTAAACAATCTGTGCTACATCTTTCAACACCCATAACTTTGTTCAGAATAAAGTAATTTGAATGAAATTTTCAATATATTCATTTTGAATTATCCTTTTTTTAAAACTATTATAACAAGAATGACCAGCTGTTTATCTAAATCTTACATAATGCATCTTTAAAAGAAGAGATAACAACACTTTACTATTTGGTGATGTGTGCCAAATTCCAATTTGTGAGAATGAGTATTAATATTTGGTTAGCAGTTGATTTTTAAATCTTCAACAGTAATTGTTATCCTTTAAGAAAGGTAATAAATTATATAAAAATCTGTAAAGTTTTAGATATTTACATATAATCATGTCCACAGGTCTCATAAAAATATGAATTATATAAAGCACAAAACCATAATATTTTAATTAAAGCAATATTTTGTTGAAGGTTCTGTCAACGTTATCAACGTTACGAATTATATTGATGGTATTTTTGTGTCGAAATAAAACATATATTGGTTCAATTTAAAAACTTATGTGATAAATAATTTATGTTTAATATTAATTGTGATATATTTAAATAATTATATTAAAGTAAATCTTTTATTTTTTTGTTGTGTACATTTAGATATAAAATTAAAATAAATTCATTTATTAATGATTGAAGAATGTGAGTTAATTGAACTTGAATGAACTCCAAAATGAGTAAGTGGATTGAGTTTGTATGTTCCCTACTAAAACTTTACCGAAATATGTAATTGGATAGGCATGGAATCGGGATTCATCAATGGTTTAGGAAAACACATATCAGACAGGTAGATACAGGGTACCTGTACGTGAAAAAAGCATTATGGATTGGCAGTGTGCCTATGAAGGTGAAAGGCGAACAACATTTATCTATTTGTGGATGGCAGGATGGTTAGCACGTGCACACTGTATCATAAGGTCTGTCATTGAGTCAACTGGCATGGTTTTGATTCCCCGGTTGTACATGACAAGGAGGGGGGTACCTGTCCAATGTTGTGGGTTTTCTATGGGTCCTCCGGTTTCCTCCCACTGCTAAAGACCCTGATGGGCAAGTGATATATTGCAATAAAATTGAACCATATGTTAGCATGTGCGCGCTGTATCATAAGGCCTGTCATTGAGTCCACTGGCACAAGCGAATTATTGAAATAAAATTGAACTTTGTGTTAGTCCCGAAATGACCTAGTTTATGTCGATTGGACGTTAAACCCCATCTCTCTCTCTTTCAAGGAAATAAAACAAAATAATTATCTCCCTTTAGTCTTCAGCTGAACAACTCATTACATGTCTGTGCCGTTACGGATTAAACCCTTACAATCACAAACAAAATTTCTTTTTTGGAACATGAGGACTGTTGATAAGATATGTTAAGTATAGAAGTTTCGCTAAAATAAATATTAAAAAGAAGCAAAATAAAAAACAAAAGTAGTCTAACAGCGGGTTATCTCCCTTTAGTCTCCAGACTGTCTTCTTTATCCTTTCAATTCTTTTTGAACTGGAAGCGTTGTTTTTCATCATAATATTGTTTCCATATTATAAAGTTAAAACAAAGAAATGACACTTCTCTGATATTTACTTTTCTCGCAAACATGCAGCACAATTTTCAATTATCGTAATCAGACTTGTTATCCGAGAGTCTAAATCAGAGTAATCTCCCTGGAACTGTCATTGACGTCATTACTTTTCGCGTTCCTACGGAAGTGCCTGTGAAATATTTTGGCAGTGCCAATTTATTCCTGACATTATGACAGCTTTGAATCTGTATTTATCAACATGCAGATATGTTATGAAAGCTGACCCCAATAACCGCTCATCATGGTCTGAACTTTACAAATACATACCGTATATGAGACAAATATTTGCCTGTTGTGTTTGCGGCAAAATTCTTCACAAACCGAAATGTCCATCTCATAATGTTTGTCAACATCACGTGTGCACTGGTTGTCTTGGTGGCAAAATGCGCCTGAAACCTGGGTGTAGTTGGTGCCGAGATCCTAGCGTTTTCATAGACAGCACTTCAGTACGAATTATGATTTTATGTTTTAAAACTTTATGTGAATATATTTATAATTCTTCTATTGGTATACAACTTTTGTCCGAATCGTCAAATTCAAAGGCAAGCTCAAGTGAACGAACAAATTTACTGTCAGTGCTTCTCGAAGTTCGACAATTTAAAGATGACTACGACTGTAATGATGTCAGTCCCGCCTTTCTTTTCCCACCTATGATAACCCCTTGTTCTGAATCGAGTAAAAAGGGAAGAAAAAGAAAACAAATCAGTGATGTAGCATCAGATTCCCATTCTCTATGTTCCTCCGGTGGTGGGGATAATGCGCCATCACCCAGTCCACCAGTGTTAACACGTTATGATAACGACTTGACAGTTAAAACCACTCTGGATGACAGTGTATCATCGACAACAGATATCAAAAGTGATGACAGTAGTAGTCCTATTGATGTTGTGACTGTCAGTCCATCAGATGATGTGACGTCTAATTTATTTGAATCTGGACCACCTTGTTTACAAAAGATAACAGAGAGAAAAAGACCCAAAGTGAAGACATATCGGAATTCGAATTTATCCAAAAATGGACCCAAAAAGAAACAATTTAGTGGTGAAGCTCCAGTGATGGAGATGTGTGGGAACAAGGCTAAAACTGAAGGCATTTCTTTTGACCCACCGTGTAAACGAACAAGAACTTCAAATCCAATTGATATGTTGAAAAGAAAAATATGTAAATGTGCTAGAAACAATCAGCCTAGTCCTTTAACCTGCCTTGGACAAAGATGCCCATGTTACAGTAATAAAAGGGCCTGTGTAGGGTGTATGTGTCGAGGTTGTCGTAACCCGCGACATGAAAAAGATCCTTCAGTTTTCTCTGAAAATGATTTAACATTGAAAGATAACTCACTCTCTCTTGTTGTTGGTAATCGTAACTAATATTTTTGTATTTGTTAGCACTTGTTCGGTCATTTTCTGTGGGAGATGATGTTAACTTATTTTTGTAAAAAGACATGATATGTTGTTAAATGTACATGCTGTCATTTGCACTTGAAAGAATCATTGTTAATAGTATTTTAAACTATCATGGAGTCTATATGAATTTTTATTTATGAATGATATTGATTCAGGTTACATTTCTGAATCAAACTATTTTTTGTCACATCATTCAAGCCTGGAAATAAGGTACCTGTCACAGACAATGTCTGGCACCGATTCAGGCATTGTCAGGCACTAAACATCTGGTGCCTCGATCACGTGCCTGTCATTTTGTTGGGCACTGATTTGTCTTTTCTATTGATATTATTAATACATGTCTGGCACTAAGTTGAAAATGTCAGGTACTATTTCATTAGTGTCTGACATTTCGTCGGGTACATCTAAAACTGTCATTTCCAGGCCTGCCACATAATTACTCTTCAGCTGACAGCTATTATGGTTTATTTACTGACTTAACTTTCATCGTACCTTTCTGAAAATTGTTGGGTTACATGTATATCATATTTATGGCATTGTACTTAATAAAAGTAAAAATATGTACATGTAGCCCCATTAATTTTAACACATTTCTATTAATGATCACCTCATATGTTAAAGAAAGTGTATATACTGAATAGTAATGTAATGTGATTTTTTGTTTTTCTTTATTTTTAAATTTAAAAATAAACTTTCCAGTGTAAAGTAAAGAAGAAATCTATGAAAACTATGATTTAAACATTTTTTTTTTCTTTTACCTTTGCTATATTTTCATGAAATAGGGTTAAGGTAATCCCTGCTGTATACAAATTTTTTTTCTAGAAGCCTTTTTCTTATTTAGATTTGATATGTCTCTTGTACTCTGTTTTGATATGTTCTTTACATTAACTACTGTATTGAAGTATTGAATACCTGTTATATCATATTTATACGAAATTTTCCTTAAGGTGATTACCATAAGTTATTCTTAGTTCAATTTATATTTTTAAAAGGCATTCTTGAAGGTTTTTTCCTTCGGTATATTATATGTACGTTTCTAATAGAGATTAGGAATCAGAACAAATTAAATTTATTAGGTATATTTTACATGTATTGTGCCAGATCATTTTCTTCATCGGTATTTTTTAAAAAATTAAAAAAGAGAAAAATTTATTGAACATTTGTGACCCATGACACAGAATAATGAATCTGAAGTCACTGATTTACGAAAATGTGGACATTTTTTAAACAAATATTTTCTTTTATTTTAGTTTGGTTTATTTGGTAAATCTAAAATTTGGCCTTTCAAGTTATGTTATTAAAAATGATATTTTTAGCCCATTTTTGTTTGTATCGTAAATCAATGAGTTGTGATTTCGACTCGTTTTGCTATCACATTTATCACTTTTTTTTTTTGTTGAACTTAGAGATTTGTGTTTATTTGTTGATGTTTGACTATTATTAAAAAACTGTTGTTAAATTTTAGGCATTTCTTCTTATTTTTGGGGGGGTGGGTGGCTATGGCCGAATGGTTAGCACGTGCGCGCTGTATCATAAGGCCTGTCATTGAGTCAACTGGCGTGGTTTCGAATCCCCGGTTGTACGTGACAAGGAGTAGGGTCGCCTGTCCAACCTTGTGGGTTTTCTCCGGGTCCTCCGGTTTCCTCCACTGCTAAAGACCCCTAAGCGCAAGCGAATTATTGAAATAAAATTGAACTATGTGTTAGTCCCGAAATGACCTAGTTTGTGTCAAGTGGATTTTAAACCCAATTTCTCTCTCTCTGTAACATGTTGTCAATCTGTTTCACAGGGGTATTGCAAAGACTAATATCTCTGTAAAAAATGACTGTTTAATCATGTGACGTCACATCACGCAGCATCCATCATTGGCTTAACGGCACATGCATTGTTTACATAAGACGCTACTAGTCCAGGTAGAATGATGCCTTTTACTCTTTTTATATACCCATTTACACTAAATAGGAAATATTTTTTACCTACATCAATTTGAAACACCTATTTTTATTTTTTTCATGCTTAAAAAATATGTTTTAGAATTTAATTTGCAGAAGGAAAACGTTAATATTTGGGACTCATTAAGTCACATCTATTTCATCCTTATCAGTGCTTGTAGTGGCCTAGCAAATATTCACTGCTGATCAGCGTGACACGTAGTTGACATGTTGGCTTAAACTAAATAAAGTTTGGCTGATTTATTGGAGCTGATTTATGTTCTGATATTAACTTAGGATTCATTTCAGTGAATCCAGATTTTTAGAAAAGGTGTTACGATTGCTTTTTAAATGACAAAACGATCGAGACTGGGTTTGAGGTTTGGGCCTTAGATCAATGGAAGATTTTTCCACTGACATCAATGTTTATTCTTGCTCTTAAGCATGTATGAGGTACACCATGGAAATAGCACACCAGTAAACACCGATCACTTAAAAATACATTATTCAAGAGCTAAATTTGCCTATGGCAGGTCTTTTTTTAGGCCCTAAATGTTATTTAAATTATTAATTAAACATTTATTAACATGACAAGATCATAATCAACTCTCGATGACATCGGATGCTCGAGATTTTAACTAGATTAGAACGGTTCAGCTATTCAATGATTTAGTTTAAAAATGAAGAAATGAGTCTAAATCTTGAATATACCAGTACTGTGGTTACGATAATAAACAATCAATGCACACATCTTGTCAGAACTACAGAATCCCCGGTTGTACTTGACAAGGAGTAGGGTCCTCTGTCCAACCTCGTGGGTTTTCTCCGGGTCCTCCGGTTTCCTCCCACTGCTAAAGACCCCTATGCGCAAGCGAATTATTGAAATAAAATTAAACCATATGTTAGTCCCGAAATGACCTAGTTTGTGTCGAGTGGACGTTAAACGCCATTTCTCTCTCTCTGTGTCGAAACTACAAACTTCGCTCAGAATAAAGTTTGATGGTCTGTTTCCAACTGAAGAAGAAAGTTGCTCTCAATTGGAGTTGCCTCCCTTCATATATGTTATAATGAAAACAGCAACCATAGTCCACCAGTTAATACATGATAAAGAGCAGAAGAACTAGCTCCTTAATGATTGTGCGGATCGAAGAAACTTGGTGACTTACGACGTTATAATATAATCTCAAAGACCCAATAATATTAGAATTCAATAATACCACACAGAAATATGAAAAAGGGGGTGGGGGGGGGGGCAAGCAAAGCTGTATATAAAAGCACATTGTATAAACGATCAATCGAGCCGAGCGAAGCGAAGCAATTTTCTTAAATCCGTACTTACTTAAATTTTAATTTTTCAAATGATCGCCCCCTCTCCCCCCCCCCCTCCCCACACACAGTCCAGATTAGTTGGGTAAGCGTATTATTACGGGAAACCTAACTGAGGATATAATATATGTAGCGTATGGATATTGTAAGTTTATAGAGAATTGACAAATAAATTGATGATTATAATATCGTAAACAGTGTTAATCCTGAGAAACGTTTTTACTGTAGTATATCCACCCGTGTCATGCAGCAGATGATACGACTTATATAAAAGAGAATGTTTGCTTGCCTGTTATAGGAAACCAAACGATTGAAATTTTTACACGAAAATTAGCAGTGTTATTTATATGGTGTTCGGTGCAGAAGTTAAAGATAGAATGATTATTGAGTTGCTATAGATTTTTGACCCGTGCAACGCCGAGAAACTAGGGTATAATAAAAAGGAAATTGACGTTATACATCAGTCAAAATATTCGTGACGTGACGGTATGCAATTCGACGTTGCGATTGGCTGTTAGAAAGAACGTAAAGGTATTATGACGTAATAGTAAGTATCCACCTACGATAATCATCTTAGTTGAAACCGATATATTCTAAGGTATTTATTTATTACGATTCTAGTACTATTACAGAAATAATATTTAAGTGGCATTTAGTAACTGGATAGAGTAATAAACTATAACATATACTTATAAATAAGTAGCTGTTTTTTTCATAGTTTATTACAGAAGTACTTGTCGCAAAATTAAACCTTGTAAATGATACATAGAAACTCAACCATAATTTACATAATATTTGATTTTTAACATTCAAATAAAAACTGACTTAAATTGACTTAGATCTAACAAATCGTAATTTTTGAATGACTTTTATTTTATAATAGATAAACATTTTACTTTCAGATGGTGTTTAAGAACGAAATCAGATAAATACCCCGGAAATGGATCACGAAAGTGATGATAGTTTTGAAAGTCCAACGGAAACTGAAGACCGTTGCTCCATTCCGGATAAGAGTTTATTACCCAGATCCAATAATTCATATATATCCCTGACCTCAGTATCCTCCATAGAAACTGGCGAAATATGTTCACCAAATGCTGCACCTGCCTCCGAATCACGTGGCAGATACTCAAACCCACTTCCACTGAGCCCGCGAGATAATACCGAAAGCATATCCGAAATGGACAAGAAGTTGGTTCAAAACCAACCCGATTCAAATTCATCCTCTTCAGTTGGTTCACCTCGAAGCCACACTGCAGAAACGCGGTTAAATATAGATACTAGAGAAGAAGAGATGAGAGCCTGTCAATCAGGAGTTAATAATTCATTAAACGAAAAGCTTTCCAAAATACTTTGTAATCAGAGTGATCTTTTCCATTCTAAGGATGGAGATACTAGTGCTAGTGATCTGTTAGAATGCAACATAGACACAACATCGTATACTGAACTTATTTTTAAGAAGGATGTGCCAAATGTTTTAAAAATTTCCAGTCATAGTAAGTCAGGTGAGTCAAGCAAAATAAACGAAAAGAGAAAAGGTGGTCTTTTCGCAGATGCTATTTCGAGATTTACAGGTGTTGGCCCAAGCTGTGACCCATCACAGATAACCTCCGCCAATCTGGTAGAACTTTACCTCCTGTATGGCATCAGTAATTCCCAAACATCATCTCTTACAGATAGTAGTATTTCAGATTACGGCGAGGAAATACAAATATCTCAATCAGGCATAACGGAATCCGGTAGCTCATGTGAATCTTTCTACTCCTATATCAGCGGAGATAAATATCCTTGGATACTGGTAAAACAATTGCGTGTTAAGGAATGTATAACCAACCAAGATTCATCGCTCAAAACCACCGAAGACAATTTGCGAATCAGCGATTCCGATCTATTGGAACTTTGTATTCAAGTGAACACAGGAATATCAAATGCCGAAGAAGAAAACTTGAAATTTAACGACGGGTCGTTTACGTACAAGAGCCTCTCAAATTCTGGAAGTCTGCAAATCTATCAATCTTTCAGCTCAATTCCTGATGACGAAATGAGCATTTACACGAAAGGTGTTGGTCTGGAACAACAATCTTATACAATTCCGGAACCAAGGCAATCCAGAAAAGGCCCTCAAAGTCTCCCGATCTATAACATCAACAGCATCAATAAATATGGTAAACGCATAGAAGACGAATCGGGATATTCCAGTTTTCTTTCACTTTCGTCTGACGGAACGGACAAAAATCCAGAAAATACAAAGGAGAATCACCCATCAACGAGTAAATTAAAGTTTGATCCAAATCACCAAAGCGGCAAAGCGTCAAGCACGCCTTTGAGTTTGTCTGGCAATGAACAACCATTCACTCATATGCCCAGGGAACTAACTTCAAGTAAAGCTAAAGTAGAGCGTATTAATAGACCATCTGGAATAACTGATTATGGTTCGTTGTATAAAGAAAACTGTGTACCAACTGAACAGGTTATACTGGGTGGAACCGGACCTGATAAATGTAATCATATTCAACAGCGAAGAATGGAAGAAAATTGTGAAGATACAAATAGTTTCAAAAGGGAAACACCCTTTGAATGTCTATCGCAGTCATCTAATGAATCAAAGTCAGAGAAACGTTCAATGGAACATAGATCGGATATCACAGCCGATAACAAATCAGGAGATAGTGGTGGTACACAGTGTCATCAAGATAACTATTTAACATCCCACAAGGAAGCTGAACTCTTCCATAGAGTCGATTTCTCGGGTAATCCTGGTGTCAGCACAGAATTGTCTGATTCAAACACAAGAGAATATCGTATTTCCGATGGACCTGGTATTAACTATAAATATTCGGTAAACAGTCAAAGTTTTATAGATACTCAGGATCCTGGAGATGTTTCTAACCAAATGTTGAAAAATGATTCTATCGGTACCAATGTGGTCGATAGGCTGACAAAAGATGAAAGGCAAGATAATTTAAAACAAAATCGTGGTAGTGGTGTCATCACGGAACTGTCTGGTTCAAGCACAAGAGGATATCGTACTGCCGGTGAGCCTGTTACTAAATATAAATATTCGGTAAACAGTCGAAATGTTGAAACTGACTCATCGATTTCAAACATGAAAAAAACAGCTGTAGATAATACAGGAGAACGAATCAGAATGGGTACAGCTGAACAAGTAGATGGATTCAGAGCTTCTCA